ACCCTCTGAGACGGTTCATTCACAGCTGAGACCCAGGAATGTGAAGATGGAGGGAGATTTCCCTCATATTGCCGGAGCTTGCCAACCACTCCATCCACTATTAGAGTGTGGGTGTTTGTCCACCAGGACACTATTGCCAATGCTTCTTAGTGTGCTTTTGGTGCATTCTTCAGGAACTTTCGCCACATTAGATGTGTGCAAGGGGACTCATCTGGGTCCATGGATGACTGCTCATCATTCAGATCATCATAGATCATCTCAAACACAGCCAGTTCCCTGAGATTCTGGATGCCTTTCTCAATGCTGGTCCATTTGTTTAGCTGACATAGGAATTCATCCTTGTAGGGGTACCTGTCCCTTAACTGAGCAGGAGTCGCTTCCAAAGGCTGAGGGTTTGAGTCTGCTTCCCTATTTCCCTATCAATGCCAGCATCCTTGGCCAAATATCCCAGCTGCTTGTCCTCTCTCCCCCCTCCTTTTCAAAAGCACTGGCTCCATTGTCCCAGCATCAGAGCAGCCAGGTGCAAATCTCCTCTCCTCCCAGGCGGACAAAATCTCTCCACGTATCTCGCAGCTCAGTCGGGGATAGAGATCGGACGATCACCTCTGGCCCTTCCTCCTGTTCCCGTGATGGGCCTGGCTCATCCTCATCCCTCACTCTGCAAACTGACTTTCTGGTATATTTGGTTTTCTGTATCTGGGCGACTGATACCGGCACTGGCTGTCTCTCTGGCTCAGTCGCTGTGCTGGTGGAGTCAACTGATACTGGCTCTGCCTGTTCCCCCAGTGCAGATACTGTTTCAGTTACTTCACTCTCAGGTTTTATAGCCTTTTCTCCCCCTTGAGCGCAGTGGGTTAAAGAGGACACGGTAGGCATGGGCAAGTCTGCAACATATTGCAGCGATTTGTGTGTCCTGGGTTTTGCCAGCTTGGTAACATACAATTTCTAAGCACTCCATCAGCTTTTCAGTGCTCTGCATTTGTTCAGGAGTGAAATTCCAAAGCATTGGAGGTGCCCACCGACTCAGGCCTTTGCCCATCTTTTCCCACACCCCTTGCCACTCACTATTATCTGACCTCGGGGCAGGTTTCCAGGCACTGATATTCTTAGTGAAGTGCCGCATGGCCAAAACCAAAATCAGGCAGGCATGCAGAAAGCATTGTGCCACAATCACGCTGGCCTGCAGGCTCCAAGGATAATTGAAACTCCCCAAAGCCGAGAGGATCTCTTCCCCTGGCTCACCCATAGACTGGGTGAGATCCCTAACAAAACCTCAGGTAGCAAACAGGTACCAGCCCACCTCCCCACACACAGACACACATTGATACAAAGGCATTATAAGCAGTCTATAGCCCATATAACAACATAAGACCCTTTATATATTTTCCACCCATAATGCCAGCACTGGGATCATACACTGGATATAAGGATAAATCCAGCCCCACCACGCAAGCAAGTGGGCCAGCATTGCAAACATTTTCTTATCAAACAAATACAAATACAAACAGAGAAATTACACCCAACAGATTGCTGTATCACACTCTGGTCAGGGTCTGTCCCTTTTTATTCTTATTTCAGCCCTCTTGTGCCCCACGTTGGTGTGTCAATTAAGGCTGTGGTGGTTTAAGCCTTGCCAGGACTGGAGACCACATTGCTGTGACCTCTCCCCCACCCTCAGCCAGTCGAGCTGGAATTGAGGCACAAACCCCAGGTTGAAATAAGAAGAAATTTTATACAACAGTGTGATAAACAATCTGAACAACAACAGTGGAAATGATAACAACAATAAACAGCAATAACAGTAAGCAAGAGCAATGACATACAGGGAAATACCTCAAATGGCCACAAACAGCTCACCGCCACCAAGACTACCAAGGAAAAAGTTCCCACACTGGACCTGATGTCAGCATGGTATGAATATCCCGCCTGGAGATCCCTTCCCCCTCTCTCTCTGCTGGGGAAACTTAATCCTATCCTAGCGGAACCAGAACAACTGACAAGAATAGGAATTTAGGAATTTGACTGATTTGTCAGTCTCACAAGAAATCTACAGTTCAGACAGTTCCTTTAAATCCATCTTCACTAGTTTTCTCTTCAGGTGTGGTGATACTAACAATAGGTACATCCTCCTTCAGTGCTCATAAAATTAAGCACACTTCTGCCTTGATGGGACTATAACTTGTATAGGAAAGCCTGAGCCATTTATATATTAGGTGTCAATATGATTGTAGCTGCAGTAGAGGAGGTCAAAAATGTCTTTCCAAACTCTCCTGTAAAATTGGTAAAAATATCCAGACTGAGGTCTGTGCTGTCTTGATTATCACAGTAATCATTATTAGAAATAAATAGTTTAAAGCCAGCTTGGACATGTCTATGTGACCTGCAGTGTGAACATACTCAAACAAATAAGAAACTACAAAGTTCATGTATGCCACAGATCTTATGATCCTATACGTCATAATTTGACTTTGCTTTGTTTACCTTGAACAGTTTACAAGAATCTATTATTCCTCTATACTAACCTAAGTTGTCTTTAGAGTTAAAATACAAGGTCGCCTTTTGTATTTTCACTTAGGATTGGGAAATCCCTATTAGCAGTCCTGGCAAAGTTCTAATACCAAATCTTTTGATACAGATGAGGATTAACTCATGCTGTGCTGCAACTGAATGTGATCATGTCATTTTGAAAGACTAGGTACTCTCCTTTTTGTGTAATCTAATTTGTGCTTTTGAAGAGCTGTGAGTTACAGTCAGTGCTATGTGAAAACAGGAATAAAAGGCCTGTACCATGAATATGCATCCTCCTTTTTAAATTATTTTATTTCAGCTTTACCCTTGTTAATAATTCTTGGAAACTTGTTTATGAGCATTTCAGAATGACTACTTAATAGATTAAATTCTATCTTCACATTTTCTGGGTGCACATACAAATCACACAGTGTTTTTCTATTTTATAATTGGAAAATAACTTCCCACAAAATACTCTGAAATATGGCTCCAGTTCAGCAATAATCTTATCTGAAAGCATGTGAATAATACCATCCCTATTCAACAATGCACTCTGAGACCTACTGAAGTTCAGTGATCCCACACTTAAGGTTCAGCACTTGCTTAGTTGATGCATAGCTAAACTGGGGACTACTCACTTTAGTATTCAGCATTTTATCAAATGCCAATGACAGTAAACTCACTCACTTGAATTTCTATGGAAGAGAAGTACCAAACAAACATAAATTCCTTTAAAATTCAGACAAAAATAAATTCATAGACATAGTTTGTAGAAGAACATAAAAATATAGCAATATAAAAGAAGCTATGAGTCCGCCTGGTACCCTAATTCCAACAGAGATCAAAAGTGGGTGCATAACAACAGATCAAGTCACTCAACTCTGTTTACATTTTTACTGGAATAATTTTTGTCTGGAGATGAGTGCAGCTGGTCAGATGATATCTGAGCACTTCATTGCTTGATGCAGTTTGCAGAGGTTTGTAAGTGTACTAACAGAACGCCTTTTGCAATATTCAGTCAGGTGAATATTTATGCTACAGTTTTCCTATTACTTTTGCAGATATCCTTTTCTGCTCTCAGAGAGAAATCACACTTTGATACTGTGATATAAGGTACTGTATATCAAATACTCTAGATACCTAACAGAATGGAACAGCCCATAGAAAGGTCCAGAACTACTTTGAATATAAGCACTCCTCTATCCAAGCTGAGCCTTAGTTCACACTTCTCAGTTTCAGAGAATAAGAGCTTTAAACAGTAGACTCTTTGAAACAGTCTTTTCCCTTATTCATCTTCTCATTTGCCAACTAATATACTTGCTCCACATATCAACTCACAACTGTCCTCTGAAATACCCCGACATATATCCATTATATGAAATCAAAGTGTATAATTGCTCTTACAAAATCATTTGTTTCTTTTTAGTACAGATTTCTCAAGTTAGTCTACATTTGTCATTTAGTATACTAAAAAGCACTAACATTATGTATGTCAATTAACATGGTGGTTCTATGGGCTTTTATTATTATTTGGCACAATCAGGCAAACAGCAGAAGCAAACTGAAGCAAAAACCAGAAACTAATATTAGCAACACTTTGCTTATTGCCTTGGAAAAAAATAGCTGAGGGATAATGGCATGAGGAGAGATGAATCCTCATCACATTCTAAATTCCATCTACTAAATAAATTAGTAGTGTCATCAATATCATTGCTACATTTGGCCTCCACAATATTCCTAATTCTAAAGCCAACTATGCAATAGGCTTCAGATGGAGTGGATGTACATTTTATTCACAATAACCTATTAAGTCTTAGTTACTCATAATGTGGACCTTTAGTTACCTACAGCATATAATGTTTACATATATACAATATTTGTCCTGTTCTTAATAGACTTTTCAAAATCACTGATGTATTTTTAAATTAATCACAATGATGATATTAATAAAGAACTTCAGGGTGGCTAAAAAGGAACAGCATCTCCATAGAGTGAGGTAATCATCATAAGGATTTTTTTCAGAGCAACAATCTAAGTATTATTTACTGTAATCTTTTCAAATTAAGTGAGTTTCAGTGTGAACATCTTAGCTTGACCCCATGACCTTATGGAAGTAAATAAAATATAGATGAAGACAGATTTTACCTCTTCAGAGATAGCTGAGGACAAGCTGTCAAAATAACTGTGTCCAGAATTATTATTACTAAGCCCAAACTTTATTTAATTATATGACACAAAAATTAATTATCTCAGTCACTGTGTATGAAAAAAATTCTATAAGGCATTGACATGGATTCTTGTTCAGAAAGAAACGTTAAATTGGTAGTGTCACAGTAACTTCGGTTTGTAGGGTCAAGCTGGTAGTTTTCTGCAAAATAATCCAGCATTTTGCATTGCTCTAGGTAGAAGAGCATTCTTCAAGTTCTTATATTCTTCCATTCTACAAGTCTCATTTTATAACCTCATAAACCTGTGAAGGTAATTTTACTCACACTGTTCTTCCCACTCCTGGTCATCATCGCTGTGTTGACTATGCTGCTGAGCTTGCTTGAGGCTCAGATACAACTCTCTTGCTCGGATTTCTTCCTGTTGCCTTATTTGTTCTTCACCCTTTTGTCTTTCCTCTTCTTCTCTTTTCTAGGCAAAATGAAGTAAAATAAAGGTGACTAAAGGGGAAGAACATGCCAAAAATTAAGACACTGCTTCAGTTGTTTCCTCCCACAGAGTAGCTATGTTACCTTGGAAAAAATAACTGTCTCTTCCAACTTTGTGTTTCTTACCTGTAACAACAGACAACAGAAATTTCCTACCTCTTAGGAATTTCTGAGGAAGTACTTGCTCAAAGGTTGTCTGTCCTATCTTAACACCTTCCAGGGCACAAATACCAAAAGCAAGATGAATATAGAATACGAATGTCAAACAATATTGTTTTTTAATGCCCATAAGAGGGACTCATACATGTTTTCCCAGTGGTGAAAAAGGCGTCTGGGAAACAGAATAAAAAAATGTCCACCACGGGGAAGGAAAGGCTTTCTTTTCTCTCCTCCCCCCAGCCCAGTTGTCTCTAGCTCTGCAGAAGTTATCTATTGTTAACCAGAAAACTGGAATTAAAGCAAAACAACTCCAATTCTTTTCAGAAGACAGCTTTCCAAAGCCAACAATATTACTGTTTGCAACCTCTGGAAGCTCAGTGAGGGCCAGAAACAGCAGAGGGAATACGGACTATTCAGTTGCTCTGGTCATGGATCACACAATGGCACATTTAAGGAAGAATGACAAAAAGACTGAAAAGAAGTAAGCAATTTAGCAGTGATGCAACACCATCTTCAGAGTGGGAAAATGAAACAAAAGCAAACCTCCATCCTTTGAAATAATTCAGCAGTTTTCCATCTCCCTAAGTAACATAAATTAACATTTCTCCATTTAGCACAGCTGGGCTCCACCACTTTACACCAGCAGATCTGTCTTCTTGATAATACAACAGATCAAAAGACCTGAAATACCGGGTATTAACAGTTATGTACCTGTGTAGTGAAGAATAGTTCCACAACACACATGAGGAAAAATACATTAGGCTGCTCTTCTTATTTCTGAGAAAGACAAGCCTAGTATTGTTCTTCAGTCAATTTTAATGCTAGCATCTCTGATTATTTCTAACATCAACCTCCCATTGCTATCTTCTGAGTCCTAGTTGAGTGGACAGTTCATTATTTCTTAAGTCAATGCTTTTAGTAAACACTGATTTCAAAGCTCAGCAGCTTCTTCAGAATAAAAAATAAATAAATAAATAAATAAATACTCCATAGAATTAGGGATTCCATATATCGGTTGCTAGTAAATGGCTCTATTTCCTTCTTGTAAAAAGTATGCAATCAGCTGTTCTTTATTCTTATGAGGAGAATATTTATTCACTTAGCTTCACTACCTAAAAAAGTCCAAAACACCTAGGCTATCTTTTCAGGAAGATGGACAGACACAGGAGTAATGTTCGGTTATCAATGTTTTCTTTTCAACATCTCAAACTACAAGGTAAACAATGGGGG